GCTTTCCTCTACAATTTATTAATAGAAATATATGTTCATTTTAATAGTTAGTCATGCGCGCACAGCAGACATGCATACGTCCGGCTGGCCTTAGATGCTCGTAGGCGTTGACGAGATGGCAGTGCCGATGACCAGCACACGCATGTTCACTCGATAAAAAACAAATAAATAGGCATGATATGTATATACGCTTGTGATGAGATCAGACCCGAATACAGATAACCAAATAGCTTAAGTTAGCTGGTTCTGGTGTTCAGCTTTGCACAGCAGGAAGGTAAAAGAAGGGGCGCATACCTGATGGGGTGGCCGGGCTCTCATCACCGGCAAACACCGGCAAAGCGCCCGACGAAGACCTGCAGGGCACTTGGGCGTAGGACGGCGGCGGCCGGCGGCTGCCCTAGCTAGTCACGCACGCATGGACGGGGGAAGAAAAAAAAAAAAGATGGGGTCGCCAGGATGGGAAGGAAAAGATCATATGCCAGCGCTGTATCCCCGCGCATCTCCCTGTCCTAATCTGGAAGCAAGGGAAAGACATAGTAGATGAAAACCCTCAATATAAATAATAACTAAATATGTTATTATTCAAATGGATATTCCCATGAAATTTCCATCCTGAAAAAAGTCATGGATTCTAAGGGGATTTGAATTTCCAAAATGGGCCTAATATGGTAACTTGGGCGGGTGGATTTCTTTTTTCATACAAAAAAACCGATAGTTATATTGTGTAAAGTCCTCGTGACTTGGGCCCATCTATCAGTTTTATATCGTGCATTAGATTAAAACTAGCAAACGTACACGGCCCATACGTTGCACGGTACGTTTTGGATGAGTTGTTCTAACCATGAGCATGAGTCATAATGGCCAAATTGCATACCGGGTCCAGAGTAAAAACGCGGGACATAAGAAACCTTCAATTGAAGCGTTTCTTTTTTTTCAAAAAGACCCCACGCATTTTCAGGGAAACGCACACAGAGAGTTTGTGTTGGATCTAAACCATAGTAAACTTTGATTCATCTGATTATTAGCACATCTTATCTCTGTTATCCACCACACGCCAAGCAGCAACGGCTTTCTTTCTCCATGTTCTCTTCTCTGTTTCTCGTCTCCACCCAACAAGAAAATCAAATCAACTACAGCTGTTGCCTCTCCCAATTTTTCATCGTTCATTCGGACTTCGAAGCCATCGTCCTAGCTACACAGAACTGCACCATATCTCCACCTGGGACGTCTCGCCTGGGTGAGGCCGGTCTCACATAGAGTAGGAGGGAGCAGATAAAAGGCGATTGTGAGTGACAAACGCCACATTGACACAAGCAAACTTCATGGAAGTCGACGAACGTGTGACGAGACGGCAGTGCCTTTTGGACTCTCAGGATAGATGTTATAAATACAAATCGCAAGGATCTATAATTTGTTCTCTTAGACCTAGAATTTTGTTCTCCTAAACTGAGAACATCTTTCTTCTAAAAACGGAACATTGTTTTCTAAACCTAGAACAAATGCAACTGCTCGATAAAATAAAATGTTTCATCTTTATATAAAAAATGTTCATTAATAAAAGTTTATCTAAATAGGCCCCGTTCGCTTCGCTGAAAAAACAAGCCAAAATACTGTTTCGGCTAATTTGTTGTGAGAGAAAAACACCGTTCCGGGTCCAGCTGAAAAAAAAAACTAAGCTGAAAAGTACGGATTATAAGAGAAACGAATAGGGCCATATACCTAAGTGGGATCTTGTTTTGAAGAATTTATTATAAGAAATACAATGGTGCAAAAGGAATATTTGGAATCTCGGTTTGGCAAATATAATATTTTTTAACTTTCAAAAAATGTTGCATGAGTGGTGTCGTAATTAAGTAAATTTGGATTCTTACATGGCTGCATGCATGAGTGATGAGCAAGTAGTTTCTAATCAGTTTTACGGATTTATGGAGAAGTATATGTCATGAAGTAGGCCATTATAATACATTTAACCCACTACCGTGTTAATGGAATCAACAATCCCTGAAGAAAATTAATTTGCTGGCGCGTTGCTACGGTCCGAGCGCCCAGTGCAGAGCAGCCCCGATGCAACCTCCCTAAAAACTGCATTTCCAATGGCTGCTGCAGGTTTAAATGAACGACAGTGCTAGCACCCGGATGTCCGGACGGACGCCCATGTCTGCACCCCGTTTCACGTGCCCACATGGGGAACGCTCGTGCCCCCTCTGCTTCACCCGCCTGGACGTCTGCGCCCGCTTGGAGGCGCCCTAGCAGCTATAGCAGACGGCTGCGGTAGGTTGGTTCCTATTGCAACATGTGCAACACTCGATCTACTTTTGCAATATTCAGATGAAACACTTGCAACATACATCCGAAAGAGCTGAAACACTTGCAACATACGTCAGCAACACTTGCAAAACACCAAACAAAGCTTAAAAACACGTGTGTAGCCATTGCAAACATATGCAACATCCAGATGAAACACTTGCAACATACATATAAAAAATACCTGAAACACTTGCATATATATGCAACATCCGGATCTACTTTTACAACATCCAAATGAAACACTTGCAACATACGTCTGAAACAGATAAAACATTTTGAACATACACTTGAAACATACGTGTGTAGCCATTGCAACATGTGCAACATCCTGATCTAATTTTGCAACATCGATATAAAACACTTGCAACAAACCTATGAAACATCTGAAACACTTGAAACATACACTTGCAATATGCGCTTTTAGCACAATGTCACCTTACTGCTTGGACGGATGGAGGCTCGTTGTTGCGAGCTCGACAGCGGCACATGGAGCTCACCGGTGCGGCAACGGCGCGGGCAACTCGCCGGCGGGGCGGTGTCACATGAAGCTCCTCCGCTCGCCTGCTTGCTGGAGCATCCGTCGTGGAGGCTCACCAGCTCAGTGGAGCGACAGAGCGGGCACGGCGAGCAGATGCTGTTGTGCAGGCGGGCATCGGTGGAGGCGGAGCACAGTAGAGAGATTTTGTTAGCGTCCGAACGGACGAATGCCTTGGCCCTAGCATTACCGTTAAAACTATCCCTGAAAATACTTTAAAATTTTTATGTATAAGAAATGTTGAGAAACAATAAAACAGAAAAAAAATGAATTTGATCTTGAACGAAAAATTGGCTCTTACAGGCTGTGTTGTGTGGTCGACGGATGGGCTCATGACTTCATGAGCTCCACGTGCTTTCCAAAAATATGGTCCCATAGTGATGTGTAAATCACTTGATTGAACTTAAAAAAAAAGTCATGTCTAACACTCACCATGTGTTTGTGTCTCAACTAACTAATAAACCAGGTGGCTCCAACCTTCAACAGAGAAATGGTATAAAGTGTTGGCTATCCTTCCACATGGAGGATGAGTTTGAGCCTAACAAAGCAGCCCAAATATAGCTCACAGTACAGTTCTTGTGAGTCATTGATTTTTGTGCAATCAACGGTGGAGATCGATCCTTGGATGGAATAAAAATCACAAACCCTAGCATCCATTGCTTCAGTTTGCTGCTGCTGTGAGAGGGAGGTGAAACACACACCACCCCAGCAGCCCACACACACACACCACAACGTGAGAAGAGAGAAAGAAGAAGGGAAAATCGGTCCAGATTTGATGGTTCTGAATCGGTCATCTTCAAGCCAGTGATTAGAGGCTCAAACGTGGTTGTATTGGTACCAAGCTCGATGCACTAGTTCCTCATTTAGAGTACTTTGATCTGTCAAGTTGGATTGAGGATTAGTTGAGTAGAGCCCCAGATTTGTGAGGGTTTTGTCAATTCGGGTCACTGCATTTTCAGGACAGAGCAGTTTTGTTATATGATTGTTTTGGATGGTGAAACGGTGTCCTGAAATTTGGTCAGTAGTTAGGGGACTCGTAGAGCTACATGTCAACTAAAATTTATGCACAGTGGAGCTTTAGTTTGTGAGATGAGATGTGAACCGATCACAGAGGGGGATAGAATATGTGACTCCTTTATTTGTTTAGTTGCTATTGTTCCTCTTGTTACAAGTGTAGTTAATGTTAAGTTTGTAACTTCAGGAATGTGTTGCTGCTGGTGTAATCATCTAGATGCTCTAGAGAAGGCTCCTTGTATTCTTTGTTGATTATAGTAGAAGCTTGCAGTGGACCGTTTGTTAGTGTGGTTTTTACTCCTCACCTTGAGGTTTTCCACATATATCATTGTGTCTGATGTGTGTATGATTTTAAATTCTGCTGCATATCTAATGGTAGATGCTCTCCTCATGATTCATTACAAGACTAGGGATTAATTGTGTATTTTTCAGCCATTTTATCCCAGCATAAAAACGTAGAACAAACTGCTGCTAATCACAAGATAAGAAGCAAAAAGTCTGCATGCACTCTTCAAATTAATAAAATGAAATCACAAAAAAAAACTATCTATATGTTTGCTTTGTAGAAAAGAACAACCTTGATTCCTCGCATGCTCACCCTTCGTTCACGGTTTGCCTTGATACACCTGACTACTTGGGCTGCACCTTCCTCAAGTAGTCTTGTCCCATGATAGACAACCTCTGGTCTCGACCCTTCACTTTCAATATAACATCTGGCCATAGATCCTCACAATAGCGAAATAGATCATGATCATCTGGCAGTCTTTCCGAGAATGGATCATGTCATGTGTTTCTGAATTGATCAGGAGTTAATAATCAGTTATATCTCTTGCTCCGATCCAAAACTAAGGAGTTGAAAATACGGGTTCATCTAAAACCAAAAGTCTAGGGATTCTCACGCTTCATCACCACAAAAAAGGTCGATTGTCCTCTGGGATTTATTATGCATCAGTTTTATGATATTCAAGAGTGAATTAATATTACGGATAATACAAAGCCACAAAAGAATTCAGGAGTACGAGATAAGATTAAGAAATCCATGGTCTCACTAGACACAATGCACAAGTACTAGGACACAACACACACACACACACACACAATATGCATGCATATTAACAACACGATAAATATTCAACCATGATGATTAATCAAGCATGGTCGTCTTGTTAAGTGCAATAGTTGGAGCTGCAGAATGAATTAACCCTTTTGCCGTGGACACTAAAGCAGTCAGAGATGGGCCACTCTCCAAAACAACACCTATGTTGCCATAGAAGACCTTGTGTTTTTCCACTTTTGACGGGGTCATTTCTACCTTGGACAGTGCTTCCATCATCCCCCCTTCTCTCAATATAGTTGCATAGCAAGGACAAAGTTTCACAATAGATATCGCCATCTCAACTATGACCCTTCTCATTCTTGGGTATTCAGGATTTGGTTTTCTATTGGAGTTGAGTGTGCCAACAAGCTTCTGAACTAGCTCAGATTGGTTGGTTCGTAACTGTAGCTGATCATGGATAAATGATTCTGGGATCATGTCACAGATTTGTGATACGAGGCCGATTAGGACCTCCAGGTGTTTTCCCTCCGCAGACATCATATTTTCCATCACCTGCAGGAACGGTGGTGTGATAAAAACTTCAGGTAATGACGACTATTTCAAGACCATTTTAATTAAAATGGACAAAAAAAAATACGAAATGAAATATATGACAAACCACCATAATTTATGTATGAGCGCTCATATTTTTTTTAACCCACTAAGCTTCAGTGCTAAGTTGTACTATATATACCATATACTTCAAATTTCGAACTCAATGACAACAACATGCCAAAATTATTTATCTTAGTAGCAATAGAGAGACTCACCATTGGGAAGGCAGATGACAGGTGGTTGCTTGCATCTTGATGGCGCAGTTTGTCTTTGGCTTGTGCACAAATATTCTGCAATAGACTTGCCGCAACATATATGTACTCATCTTCACACAGCATGTTCTTGAGATCCTTGATAATTTCATATCCTGTTTCTTCCAAGATAACCAAGCAATTTGCAGGACTCTCTGTTGTAAGGTTTGCCAGTGCTTCCCCTGCAGCCATTCGCAGGGACTGATCACTGTCGTAGTAAGCATTGGTTGGTCCATCCTTCCCAATAAATGCATGCACGAGTTTGCAAATAGTCACCTTGCAGCTCCCAATTATTATTGCATCCTCATCCAATTTTTATATCAATCACTTTTTCATTAGCTCAGGGCTCTTACTGTCCTCAAACACATGAGGTTGTTCAGTAAAAAAGAACTGTTGCACAGCTCTTGCCGAACTCCCACCCCAATGTTCTCTTTGGTGCTTGCAAGCCTCCTCACAAAATTCAGCGATGGACATATCACCGCACGCTGCTGCTCATAGTTGCTATTTTCACAGCCGGTTGAGTAGCTTATGAGCCCTATAATCTTGGAAATGAGGTATGTCGATTTGGCAATTTCTACACAATTGTCAGGATCATGAGCAAGCTTCTCCAGAATTACCATGCCCAGTATGGGGAGTGAGTCCTGACTCCTGAGGAGTCAAGGGCAGCTCGTCCAGAACAGACCACTTGTCTTTCATCCGCTTCCAACACCGGTGTACCCAGTAGCAACCTCCTTGTTTATCTTGTGCATGCTCACCCACTAGCTGTTCATCAGTATATTGACTACCTGCATTTCCTCCATTACTAGAAACTATATGCACTGAAGTTTCTTGATCTGCTAGTAGGTCATTACCAGCATCAAGGAGCGAAGACAGCAACTTCAACATGCCTGGGATCTCTGCAATTGTAAGTCTGTCAGCAAGGTGGGCGATGACCCTAGCAGCATTAAGCCTGGTATCTTGCCATCCGAGCATGCAAATCAATGTGGGCAATGTCTTCTTGGACCTGATGATTTTTGTCCCGAGCTCTTGACTGGAATTGGTTTCCCTGTTTTCATGCAGGAGGTTGCCAAGAATAAGAACACCAACTAGCCGTATCTCATCACTTGACCTGGAGCTTAGGGACTCCTTGGCAAAGCGGGCGAGGCTCACTGTCTTCCTTGCAGAAAACAAGCCAGTTTCCATGCATGTCATGTAGGCGGACTCGTAGTACAGATCGATGGCTTTTGCTCCTTGCTGACCTCTGAGTTTTGACTGACGGACAAGCATTCTGCGTGGGAAGAAGGAGAAGAGCCCGAGGATGCTTGCCGTGATGTAGAAAGAACCTTGGCATATTGACAGCATGTAGAAGACTTTAATCGCTGGCACCATGTTTGGGCTAGTACTGTCCTCTTTGGGCAGCCGGTGATAATCAGAATGCAAGCTTTGGAATCTCAGAGATGAGAGGAAGACCTGAACGACGGCGGCTGGGACTTGGAAGTTCTCAATCAGTAGCACCGCTACAAGTAGAATGGATGACAAGCCGGCAGTGAGAGATGTGAACAAGCGGGGGCCCACGATTCCGCGGTTAAGCCCACTTACCACCAAATACCAAAGGAACAATATGTGTAGGATCGCGTCAATCCAGCACAAGCAGCGGCGAACTGACAGACTATTATTTGCTGCCGGAGTCTGAAGGCTTCCAAGAGACAGTACCGCTGCTGTGAATGAGAGGATGAAACCAGTTTGATCCACTGCTTCAACGCCAATTGCAAGTGTAGGTGGCCATGCAGCCACTGCCAAACCGAAAGCCAGGCTTACAGCAGAAACCACTTTGGCAAGAGATAGCAGACTGTGGCCCCAAGGAGTGTTTGTTAGGTTGGCAACTATCGGGGGCCTAGAAATAAGCAGCAGCGCTGCCACCACCATTGTTAGTAACTCTGCAGACACGCTGGCAACGTAAAATGCGCGTGTATAATAATATTGGTAGCCTGTCTCTCCTCCAAGCGGAATAATCTTGTATAATAATCGCGTGGTATATGGGAGATTGTCCATTGCCCCACTTGTGTCGAGAGCATAGAAAATTAGATAGGCTGCTACTACAACCCACAGCTGAAATTTCCGGTGCCATTGGGATGAGCTTGTTAGTTGAGAACCACCTCGTAGATGCATCTTGCTCATAAGAATTAGTAATGCCGCTTGGATAGCGCCCATGAACAAAGGTCCAATAATCGGCAACCAGGTAACGAGGTCTATCCACAACCCCATGACTAGCACCACTTCATTCCCTTCTTGTGGTCGCCCTAACATGCGAGCAAACGGCATGTTGGTCCATCTAAGTGCCCTCGTTGTCCCAAACATTGACTGGTTATCCGATTTGTAGTTGCGGCTAAAAATCCTGACAAGTGCAAACCAAAAGTTCATATGAAGTCACAAAACACACACAAAATAAACATCTTTTTTGTAGAAATCTCCTCGTATCTATGCTGGTTGTTAAATCTCATCCAAATCTCAACAAGATATTTCTGTTCATTCAGTAAGATTGAATCCCCAGCAATTAACATTCTCTCTATGGTTGGTGGATGGTTGGAAGGCTGACTGGGATGAAATTGTTGCTGATGCAGCTCAATATGCATTCCAGGAGGGAGATGACATTATCTCCTGGAAGTTTGGTCCAAAAGGACACTTTAGTGTGAAATCTGTATATGATGCTTTATCTGTTACTGAAAATGGACCATATCATAAGAAAATCTGGAAAAGTAAGGTCCCGGCCAAAATAAAAAAATTTCTCTGGCTGGTCCTAAACAATGCAATATTAACAAAAGATAACATGATTAGAAGAAATTGGGTTGGTGATACCATTTGTTATTTTTGTCCTCTTGAAGAATCTGTTAATCATTTGCTGTTCCAGTGCAGCATGTCTAAGGCAGTCTGGGCCATTACTACCCACTGCATTGGTGCTTCTGATATTCCTAGAACCTTTGACCAATGTTGGAGTTGGGTAGAAAAATGGCTTCCTTTTGGACAAAAGTTTCATGCAATAGGGATTGCTGCAATATGTTGGGCTATTTGGAAGGCTCATAATAAAATGTGATTCGAAGGAAAAGTTGTACAACATCCTGTTGAAATAATCTGTCATGCATGTGCCCTAATGAGTTACTGGGCAGGTTTACTCAGTGAAGCTGATAAGAAGGCGCTGGAAGACGGCGCAAACACCATGCTGCGTATCGCCATCAAGCTCGCGGGGAAGAGAACTGGTAACAAGCGTCCACTGCTTCAGAATGAAGGAGATGACCATCAACAGACTTTGAAGGAGAATGAAGGAACCGCGACCATGTTATTCAGTCGGTGTTAGAGTATGATCCGGTATACTCAAACAAGAATCCAAAATGCAACGGGGTTACAATAGCCCTACGTTTATAGAAAGATTTGGTCGGGGGTTACAATAGGGTTGTAGAGAGATTTGGTATGGGGTTAGCTCGGTGCTAATCCTAAGGTTGCCTCGCCGCCGGTAGAGCCTTCCCCTCATTGGAGAGGAGAAAGACGACGGGATGCGGTGGAGGAGCTCTCGGTGCCCCTCTGTGGGTTGCCTTGCTCTCGGTGCTGAGCAGAGGCCAAAGAATGGAATGGAATGTCTTCTGACGATCGTTCCTCTTCCCCCTCCTAGGTCCGACCTTATCCCTTATATAACGAGATAGGTTGGGTACATGGCGGTTTGAGGGAACTAGTCTATGGTCTACATGCGCTAGAGTCCAGGAGGGCCTTGCAACGATGCGTTGTGGACCGTGGCGGTGTCGTGGAGCCGAAGAAGCCTTAGCCATCGTCCGGCTGCTCTGTTCTAACACCCTGCGTGTCAGCCTATGTCGACTTGGACCGGCCTCCCAGGGTGGACCTTCTGGAGTCTTCATGGCGATGAAGGAGGTTGGCTCCAAGGCTGATGCGCGTGGGCCCGGGAGCCCCAGAGGCCGCTGGGAAGCTTTGTCTTCTTGTGTCACGCCCCGTGCGTGACCTTGTTGGGAAAGTGGCCGACAATGCCGCGCCCAAGGGGCAGCACCGGGGAGCCCCCGAGCCTTGGTAGCTCGGGGCTTGTCTTCTTGTGCCGGCCTTGGCTGTCATCATTGGTGGGGTAGGTGCCAAGGGCCGGGCCAGAGCATCAGCGTAGATCGGGTGCCTTAGGGCTTGGGCGAGCCCTCGAGCCCCAGCGGAGAGGTTGCGGCGGAGTCAGGCTTGGCCGGGTTTCTTCTCAGAGGGTGCGCATGAGCGTACCCGATGGGTATAGCCCTCGAGCCCCCGGGCGATCTTGGAGGGGTCGGTCGGGGGGTCTTCTTCGTTCGAAACCGTTGGACCCGAGGCTTAACATACCCATACATTAGGATGTCTTTAGGAGCCCCGAGCCCTTCGTGGCCTCACTTGGCGTGATGGCGACGAAGGGCTGAATTCGATCTTTGGTGACCGAACCCTCCTTGGTGGGGATAGCTTCCGCTGACAAGGGTGCTATGCCCTGCTTGGAGCCTTCTTCCCCAATGTGCTAGGTGTTGCTCGGCTATCGGGGCTGAGCGATGTTGGTGTTGATCCTTCTGTGAGCCTATGTCGCATAGGTCTTCGACTCGAGCGAGGGCTCGGCGAACTCGTCTGGCAGTTACTGTCCTTAGGCCCAAGGGCGCCCTCCTTTTTGAATGGGGCCTACCATGGGTTAGGTGATCGAGAGTGTCTGGGCTCTGGCTCAGGGCCAACCGATCATCCGGAGCGCCACGCCCTTCTAAGGGCTACGGTAGCAGGTCCTGGTCCTCTTAAGCCGGCCTTCTGGGGTCGACCTTCTGCGACCATAGATTGGGGTGCGGGGCCGAGTCTTGGATGGGGGCCCTCGTTGGGTCCACTGCTCAGCGGCTCCCGACCCAACTCTAGGGAGTTGGTTGGTTTTGGGGGATGCTCCACCCAAGCGCCCGTTGATCGGGGGTCGGTTGCTCCATCTAGGGAGCTAGCGTAGCCCCCGAGGCCATTGCGGGGCCTCCCTACCAGCGAGGAGCGGCAACTTCTGGCGCGTCCCTTCTGCTGACACCTTGCATGCAGGTGGTTGATGGCATCTTGGCCATCGTGCCTAGTGGAGGAGTTAAGACATCCACCCCCGCACCGTCCCACTTCGTCTGGGAGATGGGATGCCGGGGCCACGTGGAGCAGATCTGGTGGACGAGGAGCCGCGGCACTTGGTGCACATAGATCCAGGATGTTGATAGTAGCCGGTGGGCCTGAGGGGAGTCGGATCCCCTCAAGTCCTACGAGGAGGCATGCGCAGAGTGAGCGGCGCGCGTGGTGGAAAGTGGAGCGGGGACTTGACTCCTGTCAGCGGTTCCCTGACTCTGCCTTTACTACACGGCCATCATTATGCAACCGCCTAGGGGCATGCTGTTGGGATTGAGGAGACGCCTGGCCGGTTCCCTAGGGCCCCTTTAGGCCATTGATGGCTAATCAAAGGGCCCAAAGCTGCTCATGTTTGTGCTATAAAGGGGAGCCTAAGGGGACACAACATCTTCAATCCATTCCTCTAGCCCCTTCTTCTTCTCAGATCCATCTTCTTGGCGGCGTTGGCGGCGATGAAGTGTGACGCTTCCCTCCGGGTGAGCCTGTCTTGGTGCGCCGGGCGATTGCTTCTTTGAGGGTGGAAGGACTCCAGCGAGGCAGCCTCCACAACTACATGAGGTGGTGGGAGATACTCCATGGCGCTGCACGGATTCCGCCTCATGTAGCGTGGGTGGCTGCTAATCTTCTTTGGTCTTCATCTGCAGCGAGGCCGACCAAACCCCTAGGGGCTCTCGGCCTAGGAGCCTAGTGGTGTGAGCCCCACGGAGGGGGTTAGGGTGGGGCCTCGCCGCCTTGCCCTTCATAGACCTCCCCGTGCTTGCACCTGAAGAAGTTCTGGGGAGGTTGGCCCTTCCCGGCTCGGTAGGCCGACCTTTGCCATAGGGGCTCTCCTCCCTCTCCGAGGAGGAGAGGAGATCATCACGGGTTAGGGTGCCGACCCCATGCTAGGTTAAAGCGGGTTTTGCCACCGTATATTGTAATCGGGTTGTTCCCAATTAATGAAATGAAATTACTTTTATTTGTAATCCCATTTGCTCTTAAGTTATGCTCAGAGGCTTTGTCCCTCATTGGGATGGGTTGTTATGATGATGGCCTCGGTGGCCAAGATCGCTGCGCCCATGCTGCTAGTGGGTAAGTCTGTGAGAACCCAGGGTTTACGGTCATTCTATGCCCTGGTCATGTCCTCGAGAGGGGAGATCCTTGGCTTCCCGACCGAGACACTCATATAGTTCCCGAACTTGTTTGTCGGTGCTCAAGGGCTCACTGCCTCCCTTGTTGGGTCACCACGAGTGGCTCTGAGTCAGTACTTGGACATCGTTCATCCATATGGTTAGGGCGCTTCTAGGCCCCCACTACAGCCACGTGGGCTCGTCTTTCAAACGTCCCTCACACTTTAGGTGCTTTGGGCAGCCTTGAAGCTCGGTGGGCCAGCCTTAGAACCCTCGGTGATGCCCCATCTACGGGGCCCCCGGACCGTCGTGCGGTGGGGTGGCCCGATCCAATGAAGGATCGGGAGATAGGTAGGTACCTACAAAGAAAATGGAATGGACACAAGAGAAGGGGAAGATGACATAGCTGGTAACATGGTGATCGAGGCCATTCCATTAATTCCTTGTCGATCCCTCGCCCGGTCCTCTTGCTCCATCCGTCCCATCCTCGCCTCGCTCAGGGGCCTTCTGCGGTAGTTCTCCTTTAGGAAGGTCAGTAGGTGGTTAGTTCAATCAATCCTCAGGTGCAGCCGAGCTTCTGCTAGGGTGGCTCAAGACAAAGGAGACAATTATAGAGACAAGTGAAGCAAAAAGGGTTGGGAGGATGAGACTTATCTTGGTTTTTGTTATTGGAGAGGTAGGCCAGCGAAGAAGGTTTGTGAGCGGGTCATAGCTCGAGAGACGGTGCTTCTAGGCGGATGGCTCGACATTGGCCTTCCCTCATGGGGAAAGGTCGAAACTCACCTCGATCGGGTCAACCCCTTCTAGGGGCCGAGCACCTCGATGGAGGGGCCAGCCAAGCCACCATTGTTGTCTTGGCTGCTTCCTCCACCGGCACCCTTCCTATGTCGCAGCTAGAGCCATTAGGATCATAGGGGGCGACGAGCGCATCCGCTTGAGCGGTGCAGTCCTGCTCATAGTTGTAGGCTTGCTCGAAGCTCCCCTTGATGGTGATGACTCCCTTTGGGCCGGGCATCTTGAGCTTCAGGTAGGTGTATGTTGATGGTAGTTAACAACCATTATAAACCATCAATAAAACATATATAAGGGCACAATTGTGATCACCAACAAAGGTCTAGGGGTTTAAACTAACAAATTCCACAAGTTTTAG